AAGGGTGGTATTGTACAGGGATTGTATAGGACTAAACAATCCCCTGCACAATCCCGTGTTGGATTGTATAGGCTGGACAATCCCAAGGGTGGTATTGTACAGGGATTGTACAGGACTAACCAATCCCCTGCACAATCCCGTGTTGGATTGTATTAGGCTGAACAATCTTATGGGTGGTATTGTACAGGGATTGTATAGGACTTACCAATCCCCTGTACAATCACGTGTGTTATTGTTCAAGTCTGTGCAATCACATGTTGGTATTACGTAGAGTATTAGTCAGAGCTGTCCAATACCATGTGTGATTGATGAGAGGATTACATAGAACAATCCAATCACCTGGTAAATCCCATGTGGGATTGTATAAGTCTATATCAAACCCTGAACAATCCACCTATGGGATTAGATAGACGCTTTTCCTGTGCAGACTACGTCTGGCAGGACACTGCTACCGCCAACCTGAACTAAGCACCCAAAAATTGATCCTGTTGGAACCAACACACGGAACGCCGTTCAGAGGAAGACCTCAATCGACTTATGTAGACACCCTTAAGCGCGACACAGGGGCAATCAGAACACATGAGCTGGCTATGATGATGGAAGACAGGGACGTTTGGAGTGCTATTGTTAAATCTCGAAGTCATCCGCCTAAATAAATATCGCCAGTTTGCTGGTTTTTGGTCCTCCTGTGCCAAAAGTGCTGTCAACCGGCAAGTTTTCTGACGTGTTGGAGAAATTTTTGTATCCTATCAGATATCCTTTTTCCCTTTTTTGTGTTTGTATCCGTCAGTTTTTAAACAATACCACTTGGCCGTTGGCGATACAGGCCTCCGCCTTTTGGCTTTTCTTTTTTGCTGCTTTATGGGCAAAGGCCCACCTGCCCTTCAAGTCGGGCTTTTTCTGGCCCCAGGCTTAGCAAGTATGTTTTTGTTTTTGCTTTTTTGCTTTTTTGCGTTTATTTCTTCTGTTTTTTCAGAGTTTTTCATTTTTTAAGTATTGTCACAGTTTTTGCATTGCACTATAAAGCTTTCTAGTTCAGTGTTTTTGTCAATTTTTCAGTCGTTTTCCGAGGCATTTTTGCATTTTTGAGGGAAGTTTTTGTCTTCAAGTTTATATTTCTATTCATATTTTGATAGCTCATTGTATTGTAATATTCAGTTGATCAGTTATATTGTCAAGTTATTGAGTTGTGTTGAAAGTTATTTCAGTTGTGCTTGTTAATTATTGTGTGGCACATGGTTGCCACTTGCTTGAGTTTAAACACTTTGAAACGCTTTCAAAGTTTTTCAATTTTTCGAGCTTCGTGAGAAGTTCTGCTTAAAATCTTTTTGCGGCACATAGCTGCCCTTGCTTGAGTTGAGATGGTCGTTTCGGCCTCTTACAGCGTGGAGAGACTGGAGAGACCTCTCTCAGTCAGTCTATGTATACCCAGGAAACTTCGGGATGAAGGAGTTATCCCTGCAAGAGGAGAAATGCTAACCTAAATTCTAGAAGTTGTACCAAAAGAATCCATTTTTTGCTTTCAGAAGCTTTCTGATAGTTGTTTCGATGTCACTTTCAAAGAAGGATTTGAATGCCAGCGTAATAAGCTTATGTTGTATGGTGCCTCTTATAAGGGCATCCATTTGGAATTTATGGAATCTTTCTTGTCTTTATTAGAAACCTCCCAGCAGAGGTGCCAGACAAAGTCCAAAGTCCGGAATCTTTGGTAGTTAATGGAAGAGTACAAGACATATCGCACCCCTCTGAGGAGGGAATATGGACGGGAGATCGATGTTGTAACATGAACATTGACATAGGGATATACCATCTCTTTTAAAGATTGGCCGGTATCCGGCATTCATAAGGTATAGAGGCCAGCGCCTCTGTTGTAGGCATTGCAATCAGTTCGACCACGTGGTCCGACTGTATATATACAAGAAGGACAACCTTTGCATAAGGTGTGGTAAGCCTGGCCAAGTGGCCAGAAATTGTAAACAGGCATGGGTAACTGTGGCCCCGTTAGTCACTCCGGCTGTTCCTGGCTCGGAGATGGATTTTCCTGAACTTGCAAATGCAAACAAGGTCGCACTGWAGAATAGGATCCCGGAACAGAGACCACAGAAGGATGAGAATCAAGCTGCAGTGTCAAGGCCAGTTACAGCAAAAGCMCCTCAGACAGTGTCAAAGCCAGAAACGGACAAAGTCCCACAGAGGAATGCGAATCAAGCGGTACTCCCATATATTTGCTATACGGGGACGTGCCGGCTGCCAGGGTATGGTTGTTGGCCTTGCTGTCTTAAACAGAGTACACATTTCACCAGAAATTGTGTTAAACAGGCTCTACAATTTAGATGAAAGACCGATATAATTTTTTTGGTGTTCTGGACAGGGTAATATTTTCAGAAGAAATACCGAAGAAATATTAGAAATACCGTTTCACTGTCCCAGGATTGGGATTAGCGTGTTATCAAAAACTTCTTATTGTCTTTATGGATGTCAGTATAATTGCATTTTTGAGCCTTTTGATGGTTGAGGCGTAGATAGTGATTCCTTATTTTTCCGATATGTCTTGAACAGGGTATGGATTTGCCCTTTCTAGTGTCTTAAACAGGGTCAGGGATTTAGACCGCTGGCGGTCTCTCCCCACCCCCCCCTCCCCCCAAAAAAAAGAAAGACATATTGAAATACATGATAATTGACAAACAGAGAACTGAGACAAATGCCAAAAATACTATAAAATCAGTATAAGCAGTATAATAAACTTCGAGATCTTTCTGGATTTGGGGTTGAGCTTTATTTCATCTAACAACTTATCCTTACAAGATATTTTATCCAATTCCTAATTTAATTTCTATTCAATTTGCTTTTACACGAGATGTAAGATTGCTTTTAGTCCTAATCAAACATGGGCGTAATTTGGAAAATGAATACTGCACCCTAATGTTAAGTCCTGCAATCCTAAGTTTGTTAATTAAATAAAGCAATTCAGCTACTGTAATAACAAAACCTCGAATGCATCTCGTATAAAATTCTACAATAATCATTAATTGTACACTTATTAAGCTAAAACTATAAATAAAGCTCTCATAACTATGTTTCTAAATCAAATTTTATCATTTTTTTGGGTTTTGAAATGCTGAAATCTATGAATATTGTAGCTATCCCTACAGTGTGACCTTTTGAAAATAATATATCTATAGGGATAGCGTGATATCTGTCTCTAAACTAATAAATATTCCTATTTTTTCCTCTTTAAACTGACAGGTTTGTGTACTTTTGTGTAAYGATTTTATTACCTCCAATTACCTCCAGTCGATGAAATATTAACTTAAAGAAGTGTCTAGCATAAAGTAGACGTACTTATTAGTCCGTGAAACAAATAGTATTATYAATTACTAATAAATAGTGTTGAGCACTGTGAAGTTATTAAAACCGTGAAACTAAAAATTGACTATTAAAGTTTGATAGTCAAAAATGCACAGAAGAAAACAATGCAATTGGAGCTGTACCAAAGTGAATTAGTGTAATATCTATTATTACGGTTATATTTCACCCTACTATTATTAATCACTTAAATAGTTTTGATAAACAATCGAAAACAAAGGAATGAGCATAATTTAGTACTTGAAGTTTCACGGATAAAGTTCATCGACTCTACATTTAGATAATATTATCGAAATATAGCTTTAATGTTATTGCTAGGTTTCGATTCCGTTGTTTCCATTGCCCGTTCCGAAATTCAAAAAGGGACTGGTGACTAGTCACAAACTCGATACCTTTTGAAGCAATCAAAAAACAGACACCAGGACAAGAAAGACCATACTAAATTATTTAGTACAACTGCTGAGTTTGAGTGTATTCAGATTGATTATTACAGAGCTTCAAACGTTTAAAACTTGAAAAAATACAAAGAATGTATGGAGTTTTTGAGCAGCGTCCCCAAAAACCATAGCCTCCATTGCAGACGTTCCAAGCTGTTCGATTCTCTACAAAAGGGGCTACAAAAACCATACATTCTCTCTTATTTTTACAAATTTGAAAAAATTCCTACTCGGTGAGCATTTAACCAAATATGTTCAAACTTTACAAGAACACTAATTGTAGTGTGGTCTTTCATATGGTGAGGTTCAGTTTCGATCAATGTAATATTTTCACACTCGTTACTAGTCTCCTTTTGAGACAATTGGGCAATTGTTCATGGGTATGAGTTCTGTACATGTCGCAGCCTCTACTATTTCATCAGCCTTCTTTGTAATCCAAAAGGAAGGGATGTTTCTTTCGCCGTTGTCATACACATACTTTCGTGCTTTTGCTGTCCCTCCGTCGTCTCTTGCAGGGAACTCAACCACACTGAAAGCCTTCTCCATATCATCCTTGAAAATAGCATATAAGAATCTATTTATCATCATGCCTTACACAATGATTTCCCAGCGTTTATGATTGATTGCTTATACATACAACCTAAAGTCTTCATTCAGTTTCAGTGTACATTCAAAACCTCTATAATATGTCAAACTTGCAAAAAGCAATAATACATCACAAACTAATATCGTATTTCTTAGAAAGAAATTTTTTCTTCGTCATTGATTCTGAAATGCCTCAATCACGTTTGCACTTTGCCTCACTTTAGACTAATAAAGATTTCACACGGATTCTGGATTATATAATGAATTTTTTTTACACTGATAGGATACATTTGAAGTCGCTCATTTGACTTCGGATGATTGGTCATGTTTCCTATATTTCCTTACTGTCGGGGTAATCATGAATTCAAGATTATTAGCGATATTGGTAAAAAAATTTCTAATCTCTTTCCTATGTAAGTATTTTTCAGAAATGTTGGATGATTATCACTTTTAATCTTATTGGTTTATTTCTACTAATGTTAATTTTGTTGGAAATATATTACTTACAAAGTCGTCGTCTCTCATCTTGTAAAGAAGAACAAGAGCTACATCATCCATGGTCGGACTTCTCCCGCTGCCTCTTATGTCTTTCCTAATTTTATAGAATTTCGGCATTGTGTTCCATTCTGGAAAGTGTTTTTTTAAGACAGCACGACTTCTTGCCAACTGCTCGATAAAGGCTTTCTTGACGAGGTCTGTTGGTGTTGCTGCTTCTGCAACCATGGTTATCACGAGGAATTCGACAACACGTCGTATCATTGTCTGATCTATCAATGTATGCTCAAAATTTGGTTGATTATTAAGAGGTGAAGTGAGAGCTCGTATCATAATGTCGGCCAGCAAATTTTGATCATCAAAAGTGCTCAGATAGTTTATCACATCGTTGTAGCGTCGGGCGTTTAAGTTCAACTGTTGATCCCATTCACCATTATTAGATTCCACCAGGATTTGACTTTCCCCCCTCGTTGCCCTAGAAAGGTAAAAGGTCCTCGGCGCTCCACCAATAGGAACGACACATCGTACTTTACCATGAGAAAAATACAAAATTGATTGTAAGAGTTTGAAAATTGTCCGTAAATCGACTTGATTTGTCGGATTTACTGATATTGTGATATACTTGTCTGGGTCTGTGACGGTGACAATACCCTTGCTAGACAATTCTTCCCATTCTGTCCTGTAGGAACTTGCCGTCATCATCATACTGTACGTTAATTCGTACTTCAGTTTTACAAAGCGTCGTTTCTCAACTTTGTCCTCTTAAATTAAGGTAAAGATCTGTTAGCATCGGAGGTCTTCTGGGCTGGAGTGAGGTTGAAAGGAGAAACTTTATTCCTGCTTTGATGACGATATCTTTGTTTTTAAAGTTTTTAAAAAGTCCCATCTTTGCTGCCATATTAGAAAATGCCCTTTTAAAATGCCCACGCGATTTAAGTGTTGAATGAAGTAAATCTTGCAGTACATTTTTGACGGGTTCTACTATATCATTATTCAAATTCCCGCCTGCAACGTTTTTCAAATCTTCTGCAATAGATTCAATTGATGCAAGGTCTTCCTCTTTGTCATATTTTATGAGAAAAGAAGCTTCAGAGTCTTCACACCTTACCATTCGTAGCCATATATAACTCCCATCGATTGGAATTTTGAAGTAAACAGAAGACTTATCTCTGTATATCAAGGGAAAAAACTGAACCAAATACAAAACGACATTCAATGTCAGTTCAGTAGTCTTCTTAAATGTAACTGTAATCTGTGAAAACAAACATCGTATATTTAACTTTGAAAGCTTGAGAAACTAATAGCTCATAATATTAGAATGCTACCCGGAAAGATATTTTTAAAAGAGAGCGAAAAACATAAAATTAAGCTTTTACTTCAGGAGAAGTGCCGTCAAAAGTGACGTCAAAGAAGGCTTCAATAGATATACAAACTTCCAAAGAGTCGCTTAAAAATGATTTCATGACATCAAATTTATCTTAGGCAATTTAGGGAATAACCATATTCGCAGTGCAGATGTCGTTCATGAAAACATTTTTGAGCGACTTTCAAATTTCCTATATACACCTATTTCAAAAAACGTTGTCGTCGTCAGTACACAGCCCACAGTCTTGAGCCTGCAAAGAATCTCGGGATTGCCATATATATTATATATTCAATTTCAGTTATTCAAAATTCTCCGATTTCGAGTTCTGATTTGCTCTGTGTTAGCTTCAAAACCAAGCAACATATTCTTTTGTTTCATTGATAGCCCGAGAAAACGCATGGAATTTGAAAAGTGAGACAATAGAATTGATAGAATTAATCTTTTATTCTCACAATTAGGAATATTTTGCGAACAAATCAGGCTAACACAGAGCATTGAAGAATTCGAGACTGGATTATTCTCGGTCTCGTAGCGAAAATAGCTTTGAAACTCATTGACGGTTTAAAAACGTGGAATATTCATTTCAAGGAAAACACTACTAATTTTTCATGGCGGGACTTGTTCGATGTGTTTAACACACGCAATAGTAAATTAGTAGTGTTTGCCGGCATTGAATTTAAACACAATATATATTAATTACGCATGGAAACCCCGAGATTCTTTGCAGGCTCAAGCCTGTGGACTGTGTCGTGGTGACGACAACGTTTTTTGAAATAGGTGTATAATGAAGCCTCCCTTGACGTCACTTCATTTTCAATTTACAAATGCCTTTACGTAACAGTAAAAAATCAAAATTAAATTATTAAATCAAAATAAAATTCAAACTTTTTTTGCTTCATTAACATCATATTTACCTTTTGTTGAAAATGATTTTCTAAAATGGTTTAGTTGCACCTTAATTAAGACTACAAGACAATCTGTTTTCACAGAGTACGTAATGCTGATTTATATTAGTTTAGTTTGGTTTCCCGCGCTCGCGTAATACCGAAAGTGACTCCGTTATATCGAGATATATACCTTTTACAGTATTTTCGCATAACGCTGTTGAGTGTATGCAGTAAAGCCTATAAGTAACTCTGAAACTATGCAATGCATTGCGGTTTTGGATACACTATCTTCAGTATTCAACTTTTTTTGAAAGAGCTGTATAAGGCAACAGCTTAAATACATTTTCTTTCTTATAGCAGTATAAGGCAACAGCTTAAATACATTTTATTTCTTATAGCAGTCTACTTTAAAATTTGGAATCGAGATTCGAAGTTTGAAAAGTTCTCAGTCTTCTGTCGGAGTGCAGCTATTTTCACTAAAATAAAGTTTTGAACTGGTACGATGGCGTTGAAACTTTTTAATGAAATACTTACCTCTTTGTTTGTAATACCGGTCATCTTCAATACTCCTTCTTTATGTAAGTTCTTGACCAAATCATCCACTTGTTCTTTAATCACATCTCTTGACAGATACTTTTTCACTTTCATCTTATCATCATCAAACTGATCATTGAAAATGAAGCGTTTAGAAAAGTGATTCAAGTTTCCTTCTCTCTCATCTTTAAAGAAATTTACAAAGCTGGTCGAATTTGAGTTAACTCCACAGATGAAAATGCAAAACAGAACGASAMCACATAGAAAACSAATCTTGATGTGSTTAGCTGGAAAAGGAAAGCTCTCCATCACGACTTCCTCAGAAATGTTGGTGAAGAACGACTGCCACACTGTTTATCTGAAAACTTAAGATAATTTCATCACAGTAATCGAACAGTAAGTATCGTTGGTTCTACAGCTTAATGTTAGATTGCAACGCCGCGAAAAAAATTACAAACGTATACAAAACGAATAGTGTAGAATAAGGGATAGGTCTTCACATGTGATTGGCTGTGTCGTTAACTTAAAAAAACAATGGCACTTTTTGTATTTGCTTTGAACAAGTCTATTGGTTGGTTTTCATCTTCAATGAAAGCCCACCAGAAAAAGTAGGGGACTATAGCTAGGATTTGACGAAAAACTATTTGAAAAGAGGATGGAGTATAATCCTTAAAACATAATATAGGACGATATCAGAAAAAAGAAAGGGAATCGAAAGCCAGAAGCCTTAAGGATAATGAACTTCATTTATCAAATTACAGGTCACTTTAGTATGTGATGTGACATTTCTTGTTAGCATCAGTAATCTAAGACAACATGGCACTGTATGAATTGCATCGATTCGCCAATGTGATAATTTCACTGTTTCTACTAATGAAGTTGACATTAACAGTTTTCATGCATTAACTGAGCATTCAATAAAAATGCAAAATTAGACAAAAAAACGAAGATTACTATAAGCAAGTAACACCTTGCCAACCTGTACCATACCTACAATTACTTGGCAAATCGTTTTGTAGGCTGAACACCAAACTTGCTCTCCTCGTTTCTTGCTACGAGGCTATTACTATGAGGTTGACAACCTGAGTTGCGGTCCCGATATATATACGCCAATTGTATGTAAATTAATTATAAGACATAATGGGATATGACAAATATTTGAAAAAGCCACTCATTCGCAACCACACGGACGAAATAATCCTTGCTTAAAAAAAGGAACTCTTCAGGCGGTGTCGGTTACAACTTGCAGACATTTTTTTCTTCTTCAATGTAAGAAAGATATTTCACGCAAATTATTTGCACACAAAATATTTTCTTCAAACTAAAAAATAATTAAAAATAACGTGTTGCCAAGAAGAAAGTAATATTTTATGCTAACTAAAAGAGTATTCAGGAACTATAGTTCATTTTCTATTTAAGAATACGTTTCCTCTCCTTGCAGATTTTTCTTTCTCTTAAAAAAAGAAGGAAATCTTCATTATAGTCCTATTATGCGAAGGCGTAAAGATTTTGGCGTTTACTATTATTACTTCAAACGCTTTTAAGACAGGAACAAAAATGTTATCAGAAATATATAAACGAATCGTGGTAAGATGCACTTTTTGCTCTTATGAACGCGGCCTTAATGTTCTTTTCCAATACATCCAGTTGAAATTAACTGATTTTGCACAACTTCTGGTTATATGAATAAAGTTCATATTAGTTTGAGTTTATTGAGTTTATTTCAGCTATAATACTTTTTCCTATCTTTTCAAAATTTTCCTATTTTTCAAATTTTGAAATATTGAGTATAATCCTATGCGAAGACGCAATGATCTTGTCGTTAACTATGTTTTTAAACGTTTTTATAAGTGAACAAAATGTTATCAGAATATACCTGCACGTACTTCACTTTACTTTTATAAGCAATAAAATTGTTTTGTAGGCTGAAAAATCAAGTTTGCAGTATTCGTGTTCATTAGATCGCAAAGGCTATAATACGAGGCTGATAACGTGACTTACGGTTACCAGTAAACGCCAATTGTATGTAAATAATTATAAGACATAATGGGATATGACAAATATTTGAAAAAGCCACTCATTCGGAACCACACAGACAAAATAATCCTTGTTTAAAAACAAAGAAACTCTTCAGGCGGTGTCGGTTACAACCTGCAGACATTTTTTTATGTTCTTTAAGACAAATTTTTCACGCAAAATATTTGCACACAAAATATTTTCTTCAAACTTAAAGATAAATGAAAATAAAGGTTTCACCAAGAAGAAATATTTGTGTTAGCTTCCAGAGCATTTAAGGACGGACGGAGAAAACGGAGGGTTTTTACTGATTGAGGGACTAGAGTTAAGACTCTGTTTAAGAAATATATAACAAAAAAGAAACGTTTGTACACATAACTGTGTTAATTGCTGTTTGTTATGATGGTGTTGTTACTAAGCTACTCGAGATTCATAACCAAACAGTGCTAGCTAGTTCTTAGTTAGTTTCTCTACTCGAATACTTTTCATCTCGCAGAATTTTCCTTCTTTTTTAAAAAAAAAGGAAATCTTCATTATGCTTTTACTATGTTATTTTAAACGGTTTTGAAGCAGAAACAAAAATGTTATCACAACTAACGTACATATAAACGAATTGTGGAAAGATTCAATTTTGCTTTGAAATCTTGATGACGCTACCTTCTTCTTAGTTTTACATCTACTCGTTGAAATTAACTGATTTTTGCACGAATTTTGGTTATATGAATAAAGTTGATATTAGTTTGAGTTTATTTCTGTCCTAATACTTTTTCCTCCCTCTCTTTGCAGAATGTTTTTCTTCTTCAAATTTTCAGTTTTGTAATATTATGCGAAGACGCAATGATCTTGGCGCTTACTATGTTTTTAAACTTTTTTTGAGTGGCCAAAAACTGTCGTGAAAAGATACAAATTTTGCGTTGAAATCTTAGTTAATTTATAAATAAACTTTATTAGTTGTTGATTGTTAAGAATTAATTGTTTTACGCTTTTTTGGCGTGCACTCTGAACATCCTGCAAACTAACACCCTTGCCAGCCAGTACTAAATACATGTATCACTGAGCACTTTCAGAAAACAAGAGCATTCAAGAACGAAGAAACGGACCGTTTTTACCGTGATGAGGGACTATAGTTCATATTCTGTTTAAGAAATACATAATAAAAAAAAACGTTTGCACTCAGAACTATTGCGGTGTTAATTATTGTTTGTTCATGATGTTGTTACTAGCCACTGCGATCGGTCGAGATTTATAACCAAACAGTGCTCGGCTCTGTTAGTTGCTCTGCTCGAATACTTTTCCTCTCCTTGCTCGATCTTTGCAGATTTGAAACAAAGGAGGAAATCTTCATTAAATTCTTATTATGGGGCATAAGACGCAAAGATTTTGTCGTTTACTATGTTACATTTCAAACGCTTTTGTTAGAGAGGGGCATTTAATACAAACTTGTAAGCATAGGGGAGGCGTTCATTAGAAAGGGAGCGTCTATTAGATCATTTACGGTATTTCACACAGCTAAACGCAGTGCTTTTGTTTTTTTCTATAGATGCCATCGAAATCATCAGGAAATCACTTGAACTTTCTTCAAATTCTTCTATTTTTGCAATGAATTAAAAATAAAAACATGTTTTAAAATTTTCCAACTAAGTACAACATTGTCTTTTTATTTTAGAAAAATCGAGTAAGGTTAAGTTGGGTAAATTTTACTACCTCAGCTAAAACCCATACACTGTCTGAAAAATCTTTTTTAATTACAAAGTAATGAGAGCTTGATTAACGCTTGTTTACTGGAGAGGCAAATTTGACCAATGAAATTTTTTAGTATTTTACATATCAAAGAATTGCCCCACAAAAGTTGTCCTTCGCTTAGCAGCCATATATGGTAATCTTACCTTATTTGGAAGTTCGATAGGAATGGTTTTTGTCGATTTTCTCGACTTTTAAAGCTTGAAATCGTCTGAAACTTGCAGATATTATAGCGAAAACACTTCTAAACAATCCGCCATTTTGTTTGTTTCCATATATGGCATGGATTCGCTAAAGGAAGCCCAAAACTTAAAAGCACAGGGAACCCGCACGAATGATATACATGTGCACTAGAAGCACAGTATAAAAGCAACTATTCGAGATCTTTCTGGATTTGGGTACGAGAGCGTTATTTCAACTTAACAACTAATTCTTACAAGGAATTTTATCCTATTCCAAAAATCAATTTCATTTTAAATTTCTATTCGCTTTGCTTTGACACAAGAGACCAAATATTAAAACAGCCATTTTATTCAGTTATTCTAAAACTGATACATTGCCCTTGCTCATAAACGATAATTTACAGTTTTTTCTAGCTTTTATTGAGACAGTATCAGGCACCCTGTAGTAAACGTATCTTCAGGTTTGTCGGCTTTTCTCTCAGACTTGAAATTCTTGTCTGGGAAAGGTTTAATTGGGTCAATTGTACAAGGAACATATGGTTATAGTTGGAGTGTAGTAGTAAATCTGTCTTATTCTCTGGTCTCCTGCTTATTTCAGATTATAAACTGATGATATGCGCTCATATATGATGAAATACCTATATTTCTCTCTTTCGAAAAGTTTCACTAGTGAAAAAAAAAAGACATTCGAGTTTTCTCTATATATTGTCAGTCTATAGTCATAGACATACGAAAATTAAAACGAGGAATTATATCCCGGATCAGGTGTTTTATGCGCCACAGGTCCGGATTATTCACTTTATCCGGAACGACCGTGGTTTTAGACCGATTCAATGAAAATGATAATTTAGCTACTCAGAAAAGCTGTATATAATATCCCGGCGATGTTGTGATGACGGTTTTTTTTTAGTTTTTTTTTAAACGCTTAATGGGATTTCAATAAAATCAGTGGTTATCTGTGAACACAGATTCGCAGATGGATACCCAGATTTCTAATCTAAAATGATCGGTAATCTGCTCGGTTCCAAAGACTTCGTTCCTCTTATAGCGAAAATCGTTGCATCGCGACTTCTTCGTTTCCAAGTTTGTTTTGATTTTGTTCTTTCATTTGATCTAAGGGGCGGAGCTTGTCGTAAACTCGTTCAGTCATTGGCTGATTTGCAGCAAGCTCCGCCCCCAAGTCGAAGAAAAACCTAAATCCTGACGATTTCTTTTGAACATTGAAGTGTTTATTGACTCTATTTGGCCACATGTCCACTAATTCATGTTTTGTTTATTAGACAGTTTTGGTGTTTACAATTCAATAATTTTATGTTGAAAGGTAACGACTTTTCCATTTCCATGTTTTCCCTTTACCACAGTAGAGCAAGTTTACATTGATTGTTTTGATGTTTTTGGTTTTCCCGGGAGCCATCTTCCATGTCTGATACGGATCGGTACATAGTCATCCGCTTGTGGAGCTTCATCTCTGAACTTAGTATGAAAACATTTCAAGTTCTTTTCATAGAATCCCGCGAACTTCAGTTTCGCACAACCACCAAACTTCTCTCTGGTAAGCGAAATGTCATAGAAAGTGATTCCAACGCCCTTGTAGGTGAAATCAATGGGGTCATTTACTGAAATAGCAAAAAAATATAAGTAGTGAGAAAAAAGCTAATTATATTCTATTATCGTTTAAGTTTTGGTTCTTAGAAATCAAGTTTTGCCTCTAGTGAGTATAATTCGGTAATGAACTCCTGATGCAGGAGGGCTAGTATTGGCTCCCAATATACTGAGACTGTGATATGCTCCACTGTGATGTTAAGCTATGTTAATATATCATCTAGTGATTATAACTGAGTAGTCAGAAGTTACCATACTTTTTTTCTCCCAGCTCTTTTTCAATTTTCCGTCAGAAAGATATGAAAGCCTTATGATCTGAAAGAAAAGAAGTTAAGAATAAGAATAACTATCAAAGTCAGTTTTTATATCAAGCTTCACTACTGAAAACTTGTCCCTGGTCTTAAACAATGGAAAAAGGGTAAGGCTGGTTTATATGCCTATACAGGTATTTCAAAGAACGTTGAGTACTGACACTACAGTACATCCTGATAGGACGCATGCCCGATTTCCTCCTTCAATTTAATGAACGTGGTGCACTATGCGGTATCTGTACCATTCAGTCCAATCTCGTACCCCGAGACTTCGTTTTTCCTTGCGCCGTCGACAAACATAAATTTTCGCGGCGCTGAACAAGACAAACGAAGGCTCGGGGTACGAGATGGCATTTGTAAATTTACAATTCCAGTGTCTTTCTTTATCGCCATGGCCTCAATACATTCTGAGGGAATAAGAAGAAAAAAACAGATTAAAAAAAGGTAAAGGTGTGTTCAGAAATTTGACTGCATTTCTTAATTGATATATACTTTCATCAAAAAAAGGGGGATCTACACAAGCTGAACATCCATTTCTTTCGCATTTCCAGGACACAAAATCCTCTTCTTCCTCGGGTTTGACTGAAAAATAAAATAATATACCATATGTAATAGTTGTAGCTGCTTATTTCTTAATTAAAAAAAAAAAGAATGATATACCAGCATTTATAACAGCATGTATAATTCAATGCCTGGAAATCACTCTCATGTCAGGCACTGCATACATTTAATAGCACGACACGTTGTAACTCGTCTGCAGACTCATCATATCATATTCTACTAACTATAATCACATTCAAATCCTTTTAGAGATCTAAAAAATTTATTTTTTCCCAACTTTTGAATTCATGCAGCCTTTGAGCTATTCAAATGTGCACGATATTTTTTTTTTGTAAAAATATGCTCCGCAGGGAAGTCGGAGAATTGCCATGGCCATTGACATCTTTCAATATGGCGGCAGGAAACGTCATTGGTCCAAATATGAAGGCAAACCGATTATTTTTGATTATTTTCAGTACCTTGTTTACGTTTGTCCAAATCTTCAACACTTCCTGTTGAATTTAGAAGCTTGTTTAGATATATATAAAAGATATATAAAAGTGACTCTGATTGGCTAATCTGCTACCATGGTATGAGTTCATATCCCATGGATTAAGAGGAACAAAATGGATTCAAGAAATTCATAAAATCATTTAAAGAAAAAAAAAAAAATTCGTTGCATTATCGTCAGTTGTATCCGGCGCATTGTCAAAATACTATAATGATGTTGGACTTCCTTTTATTGGATTGTATCAAAATCATTTACTTAAATGAAAAACGATAATTTTGTAGGATAAACGATCAGAACCTATTTATTATTAATACAACACCAGCAGAATTTCATGATTACTTCAAACTGGAAACAGTAGGTCATGTGGTCCTGGGTCATTTGAAAACCATTTGATAGAACACGTTCGATATTTTGGTTGACTAACCATGGACAAAGGAACTGGTTTTGTATGGGCTTTATGGGTCAAGTAACGAGCCTGAGTTTCTAGCTATTTCAGTAGGATGGGCGGGTACAGCAGAACACTTGTAACGCAGGTTACAGTTAATGTATATCAAACGGCAAAGACACAATTTACTACTTACACAAATGATCGTTTTCAATCATTTCCATGAGATTCAAAAGATAAAAGACCGGCGGCCATGTTGGAGGAATGAACAATCGATACTAATGAGAAATCTTTTGTTGATGAAGTTCCTCCAAGATGGCCGCTGTGACGTATTAATATTGCAAACGAAGAATCACAAGCACTTACCAGAAGAAATTTCATCGCCATCGTCATCCGCGTTCTCCCGTTCATCTTAAAATAATAATACATAATAGAATATTAAAAAGTATATTGCATTTTCTTATCATTTGTCAAGGGGTTACCACAGAGCACGGTCGTAATATAGATGGGTGATGTAGCTTGTTTATTTAGCTTAGTATTAAGAATATGCTGGTGGTGCATTAAATCAAGCTTTTCCAGGGGCCCTGAATATTGATTCCTTTATCGCTAATTAGTTAGCGCAATATAGTAATTAATTCAATATCATTTGTTGTGTGTTTCTCTTCGTGCTTTTAAATACTCTTCTTTTGTGGTTTCTATTGCTGCCAATTAAACACTAATTAGAATTGATTCATTTAACTACTACAAAAAATATCGATTTTAATGATTCATTGCTATTGTAGCTTACCATCTTCGTTCACAACACTTCCAGATGTCTTTTCCTTGTCGTCTTTCTTGTTAGATAAATCGACATTCTTCTCTTCATTTTTGAAAACCTTCTGATGACTCGACTTACAGTGAGCTAAAATGGCCAAGCAGCTTCCAACAAGAAGCAAAATCAAAATGTACTTCATTTTAGCAATGTGTTAAGTAGTCAGAAGCTGTGTTTGACCAGAGAATCAAGCTGTGCTCGTCCAAGAGTTGAGAGCAATATGAATTCAGAATTCTTAATACATGTATTTAAGTAGAGATAGTTGTTATGCTTCAATGCATCGATATCCTTTTTCAGTGTAATTCAATTCTTTTTTTTTTAAACTGGTAACCCGTTCAATAATGTAATACCTTCACTAATGAGTTTTTTTTAGTTGGTACGTTTCAATACATCGATATCCTTTTTGTAATTCAATTGTTTTTTTTTAAACTGGTAACTCGCTCAATAATGCAATGCCTTCAATTTTGAAATTTGTTTTCTAGAAATCGGCACTGCTTACCCTGATACCTCTAACGCTTCTAGAAGTGTGAATATTCACAAAATTCTTAGCAAAAAGGGAAATAAATTGATAACTTTTCTTGTTAGGGACGGACCATTTCATTTTTGTGGGGGMTGATTTGGGGGCGTGCTCGAAGTACTGCAGGATAAATTTTTGTGGTACCGAGCACGATATTGTTTTTACAGTGTAATTTGTCATTTTTACGTACACCTAATTACGAAAACGTTGTCCTGAGATTTAGGGGTTTAGGAAATTAGGAATATTAGGAAGACAAAACATGACCACTGAAGCCGAACACTTTCTTTTGTATTTTAATTAATTCCTAAATAGTAAAATTTCTTTTTTCTTGGACAATTAGGTAATTAGGTGTATATGCTTTGTAACGGACGGACCATTTGTAGGGGGTGGGTTAATCCCCCCAAATAATGGAACATGCATAGTTTCCGCTTTATCCACCTAACCTTAACGTTGTATTGTTATTACAAAACTACACAATATCTCATCAAACTAATGTTTAATTTGAAAGTTGGATAAGCAAAGACAGGTGGAGGGTAGTGTGGACTTTTTGGCTAGTCCGCACATTTTAGGGGACGCGATACATATTTTTGATTGAGGGGTGTAAGGACGACCAAAGGCCGGAGTAATAAGGGGGGCCTGAAATTTTGAAATAATTTCCGCGCGCCTATGTAATATCCGGTCTATCGTAATTATGAAAGGTTGATGGTTTCTGGAGTATCGCTATTTGAGTCATTTAATCTGTTCTGGTTCTTAACAAATTAGCGACTAATAAGATTTAGTTATCAGCTAACTAAGAATTCAGTAAGGCATAAACAGACAATTTACTTTTCTGGCATTGTGTTCAAGCCTCAGTAAATTCTTAATTAGTTCAGCTAAATATTATTAGTTGTTGTTAATTGTCTTGTATATTACCGAGCAGAGGATTTTTCCACCTCCCTTTTAGGAAATAGGTAGTCATGGAAAGTTTTAAAGCCATGGACTAAATACTAACAAAGTTATGGAGGAATAAAAATACAGGATGGAATTCTTTGGTAGTGACTGGGTAGCCTCGTTTTGGTGTTTTCGTACCTCTTCTAACCCTTATAACTTCAAGAGGATTTAATATTTTTCTGTGAAACTTTCAGAGTTTATCTTTGTCTTTGATATCTACCATTTGAGTGTTTTCATTTGTCAACATTATTGATAGAGGGTTAATATGCTAATTAGTGTCAGTCATTATGAGAGTCGTGAGTCGGTTAGTGAAATATTTTGATTTTATTTCATGGTTGAACTCCGATAACTGAACATCCCGCAAGTAAAACCTTTGCCAGCCGGTACTGTACAATTATTTTACTTACAATTTCTGCAACTAAATTGTTTCGTGGGCTTAGAAAGCAAGTTTGCTGTCTTCATGCTTCATAATCACGAGGGTATTATGAGGCTCACAACATGAGGTACGGTTACCAAATACACGCCTATTGTATGTAAATTAATTATAAGACATAATGGGACATGACAAATATTTGAAAAAGCCACTCATTCGGAACCACACGGACGAAATAATCCGTGCTTAAAAACAAAGGAACTTTTCAGGCGGTGTCGGTTGCAACCTGCAGAAATATTTTTCTTCTCTTGTAAAAAGATATTTCACGCATAATATTTGCACAAAACATATTTTCTTTAAACTCAAAGATAAATGAAAATAAAGAAGACCAAGAAGAAAGCAATAGTCGGAGTGTTTTTACTTATCAAGGGACTATATTTCATATTCTGTTTAAAAAATATATAATAATAATAATATTAAAATGCTGTTAAAATGCTGATGCTGTTAGTACCTACTAGTTTATAAGAACAACTACAAAGCCAACAGTATAGAAAAAGTAAGGGACTACAACTAACTTCTCGAAAAGCTATTTGAAAATTGGATGGAATAACACCGTCAGAACAACATGGGACAATATCAGAAGAAAGGGAACGTTAGATATAACATGACATCACTATTAGTATTCAATGGTCCCTGTTATTATTTCTTCTTGTTAGCATCAAATCCAAGATACAGCA